TTATTTTTTTAGGGGGAGGGGGAATTAACTTCTTTGGAGTGAAGTACCCCCTCGGTTCGAAGCATCCATGTCGCCCCTCGAATAGTACCTTCTATCACGACAACAACGGCAACAACGCCGACCGCTGACAGTTCCGACATCAGATATGTTACAACAACAGGTCACAACAGGCTGAGGGCGAGGGATGGGAGACCACCGTGCATAAGTGTATGTGACATTGTCACTTTGGACGAGTGGGGAGGGGTAAGGCGGGGGGGGGGGGGTAACTTTCTGCGGCGAGTAGAGGCCTACCTCTTTCTCCAGCAGACTGCGTGCGAGCTGCTGTGCACTCGCGACGACGCCCCCGCCGACCGCGTCCAGCAGGTCCAGTTCCTCGTCGCCGCCGCCGCGTGCAGTGGCTGGAGCGCCTGCTGCTGCTGCACCCGAAGCCGCGCCGGTCTGTCCGGAGCCCATGATGATGACAGCCCACGTCGTTAGAGGGGCCGAGCGGGTGGTGAGTAGCTCACGAGTGCGGCGAATGTGATTCGGGTTGCGCGGGTACACGGGTGTCTTTTCAGCCGGGTGAGGCAAAAACCGGAGCGAAAAACTAACCAAACAGGTGTTCCGCGGCGGCCGGCCAGTGCAAAGCCGCCCACCGCGCGCGCTCAGCCGCTGTTATGGCACGACACCCCGCGAGTACTCGTGCTAGCGTACCGCGTCCTCGTCCTCAATGTCTCATCGCTGTCGTCGGGCCGTCGTTGAGATGAACGTGATCTCCGTGACCGCTGATCGACGTGCTAGCTGTTTTCCGTGAGGTTGGCAAAATGGTTTGTTGCGCGAGGTTGGTCCCACTGGAGCGTGAGGCCAGGGCAGCGGCCATCTTTGCTATTGTTTGTGTTTACAGTTTACGCCCTTTGTGGCGCTCGCCTATCCATTGAGGCTTGTTTCGCGTTTCTATTTGGCATTGAACCATGTCGATTCCTCTATTTCCGAGTTTGAGACCGAACCTGATGAGTCCGTTTTGGGGCGAGCTCGACCCACCCATTGACGAAGAAGCCGAAATCCTCCAGCTTGAGCGAGAACAGCGAGAGTGGGTAAGTAAACATAGTTTTCTGCTAGCTTTTAACCAAACAATAGTGAAGTATACTAATTGGAAATTCTGTAATACGTCTTGAAGTCGCTCTGAGGAGGTCACATCATTGTATTTTTGGACTCCCGTACTTTTGTTTCTGATCGTTAGGTTAGCGTCTTTTGTTCTAGTTCCTCAATATTGTTGTATTTTTTAGAGCAATACTACCACCTCAGGTGGAAGATTTCTACCCTCCTGTTATGTATAGCTTTTTATGTCAACCCGACTATGCCTCCTTATTTCCTCTTGTTTCTGTGACTTTTGCTCTTTCCATTGTTTCCACATTTGTGTTATTTATTCATTCTTTTTATTTATCCTTTCAGAAAGATGATGTGAGTCAGATGTTTGCCAATGTTGTACCAATCGGTAAAGTAAATCAAGACGTAAGTTGAAATTTTATTCTAATGTTTGGTACAGCGTGTAAATTACCTCTAATTTAACCTTGGTCTCATTTTAGGCTGATGATGACGACTTGGATGACATGGGAGATGATGAGGATGACACTACCAGTAGTGATGATGACGATGATATGGATGATGACAACGGGATGTTCCGCATCCATGATAATCTCAGCCCTAGTCCTGATGTTGCTGCAGCAGCCGCTGCCGTGGCTGCTGCTGCCACTGCTGCAGCTGCAGCTTCTGTAGCAGTCGGAGGCTTTGCTTCCACATCTTCAGTTATCTCTACTCTATCTGCTCCTGTGGCAGGAGATGATTCCTCTGAATCTTCATCTTCATCTGAATCCTCAGTGACTGTTACTCTAAATAGAGTTGGAGGTGAAAGCACAACAACCAGTCCTGGAGATCCCTCCATACTCACTACACGTCCAGCAGCTCGACCTGCGCGAATGATAGTGGGCACGCACATCCCTGCACCACGCCCTGGCATGCCTCAGCAACCTGTGCGTTTGGCATATATTAGCACAACCCACCAACCAAGCCGTCGACAGCAGAGTAACTCAGGAAGCGTTTCACCTACTAGTCGGGCCTACATTGATGCTGCTATGCAGTCCTCAATTGCACAATTTAATCGTGATATTCCAGATGATGAAGATGATACTGATGATGATATTCCTGACCGTGCAGCTCCAACTCAATCACAGCGAGCTGGACGGTCTCATTCCTCCCGGCCATTCCCAGGGCCTGTCTCTGATCATTTAAGCCGCTACCAACAAATGATGGCTGCTGGACACATTCGTCCTTCGCTCTCCAGCACTCAGATTGATAGTCTAATAGAGTCAATGCACCAAAGGGCACATGCTGCTCGAGGTGCTGCTCCCCTCCTTCCTTCATCAACTATTACTGCTGAGGCTGCAACAGGATCTAATCATGAGTCTGACTCAGACAGCAGCTCAGTATCTCATGAAGAAGTCTAAATCTAAACCATATGGGTTTGCTGTTCATTTTGTAAATATATCAAGTGTAAATAATCATATTTATTTCTGTGCTCATTCTGTGATGTCTGTGCTTTTTATTCATTTTAGTTTTGTGATATGATGTGATCTACTTACATTTTAGAACCTTACTTCCAAAAATATTATTTATGGATACAAAACATTTACCTAGTCAATGTAGGTACTTCATCATTAGAAGTGTAGATAGTTTAAATCACGATACATGCAATCATTTGATCAATTTTAATTTGTCTTTTTAACTTGATCTATGGTACTGTATAATTGTTTAAGATTCCCCTTATGATAGATTGCTGTTTGTATACCACTGATATTAAGTGACTTTGTGCATTATTGTTATGGCAGAAGTCAGTACAAACTATTTAAAAAATCCAAAGAAAGAAATGTAATTTACATTTGTCAGTATGCAAAAACTGAAATGTGCTGTAAAAATCATCTTTTATGTTTAATTTAACCTTTTCTTGCCTGTGCATGGCATAAAGCTCCTTTTTATGTGTGTTTGTCTACATCAGTTTGTTTTTTTTCGTCAAAGCACAATATTAAATCCAACTTAAGTACAGTACAGTATTGAATTGTGTCTAGTCCCAATGCTCTTTTTTGTTAAAGTTTTTAAATTTAAAATAACAGTAGAAATGTGTGAATAAGATTTTTTTGATCCTATCCATTGCTGTAAGTCAACGCATAATTTTTAAATATTTGTTTTGTATGACTGACCTAGATTAAGGTATGAAGGGATGTGTGGCTTCAGTAGAACAACCCTCTTTATATGTTTAAAATGAGACAGAATGAAGCCTCCTGAATATTATCTCCCAGTGGGTTCATTTTCAGGCTTTAACTTCTTAGTTGGTTTTTAGTGCTAAATAATTGCTGTCACAACCTACAAAATATGTTATTCATCTCTATGATGCTCTGTTTGTTTTATTGTAAAACTTGTAAATTTGAATGGGAAATGAGAACCCAGCTTTTGAGAGGAAAGCTTCAAATATAATTTCAGAGTGAGAGTTGTCTGAAAAATTTGTTTCCTTTTTTGTATTGATAGCTTCTCTGTAAAACCTATGTGATTTTTTTTTACATTTTTGGGGAAATGTTGTGTATTGCATTGAAGTCCCTGTCTTATTGTTTTATTTGACCGCATCTTCAAAAAAAATATACTAAAAAAAAACCTTTTTTTTAGCAAAACTGAAGCTTTTCTTCTTTTTTTTAAACGCATGTGTCGCTGTGCTCCGGTGGGTGCCGCGGGCTGCACGGCCCTTGAGCCCTATGAGCTCAGGGGGGAGGCGCCGTGCCCTGCGCCCGGGGAGGGTGGGTGGGTGGGTGGGCAGCCGGCCGGCGCGGCGGACCTCCTGGGTCGGCTGCTGCCCCACTAGTGCACCACCCACTCGTCCACCCACGTCTGCGGGGGCCCCAGCAGCCCCCCCTGGAGGCCACCTCCTCGGGCTGCCGCGACCCCCCTCCTGGTCCTGCGCGCCCTCCCCCCGCGCCCGAGCTCACGATGTCAACATAATTAGGGGCCGACATTCCTGTGTCACTCAGGACGTCGCAGTCCCCTCAATGCCTAACCGCGGCGAGGACGGAGGAGGGTGGAGCTCTGAGCTCTGGACGTTTCACCGGTGAAAAACAATGAAAAGGGAAGGGCGTAAGTTTGGACTTTCGCCCTTTTCACTTTTCATCAGTGGTTTCAGAGAGTGGCGCATGCCTGTGATGGGAAGGAATTCCCTCCCCCGAACCTCCACGGCGTGGTACAAAGGCGCGGCAGGGGGGCAGGGCTCTGGTACGACCCGCAACGCCCGGCATGTCGACCCGTCCGTCTGCAGCCACAATCACAACCGGCGATAACCCGTCGGACCCGCGGACATGGCTTTGGCGGGCTGCTCGGGGGCGCTCGATACTACAAGTCGTTTTGATGTTGTGTGTAGACGAGCCGTCAATGTGACTGGTCACGTAATGGTCGAAGTTTAGCGCGACCATGGTTGGTTTCGTATTTATTGGGCGCGCTGTGGGTGGGTCAGGTAGGGATTTTAAGGTCCGAGATCTTTCCGGAAAAACAAATGAGAATTTTCCAGAAAGAAATGGAAAAATTCGAAAAATTAC